TGAAGGGTCGCCGTTGAAGGATCGCTGTTGAAGGGGTTGTAGGGTCGCTGTTGAAGGGTCGGCGTTGAAGGGTCGGCGTTGAAGGGTCGCCATTGAAGGGTCGCTGTTGAAGGATCGCCGTTGAAGGATCGCCGTTGAAGGATCGCCGTTGAAGGGTCGCCGTTGAAGGGGTTGTAGGGTCGCTGTTGAAGGGTCGCTGTTGAAGGGTCGCTGTTGAAGGGTCGCTGTTGAAGGGTCGCTGTTGAAGGGTCGGCGTTGAAAAGTCGCCGTTGAAGGGTCGCCGTTGAAGGATCGCCGTTGAAGGACCGCCGTTGAAGGGGTTGTAGGGTCGCTGTTGTAGGGTCGCCGTTGAAGGGTCGCCGTTGAAGGGTCGCCGTTGAAGGGTTGCCGTTGAAGGGGTTGTAGGGTCGCTGTTGAAGGGTCACCATTGAAGGGTCGCCGTTTTAGGGTCGCTGTTGAAGGATCGCCGTTTTAGGGTCGCAGTTGAAGGGTCGCCATTGTAGGGTCACCGTTGAAGGGTCGCTGTTGAAGGGTCGCTGTTGAAGGGTCGCTGTTGAAGGGTCAATGTTGAAGAGTCGCTGTTGTAGGGTCGCTGTTGAAGGGACGCTGTTGTAGGGTCGCTGTTGAAAGGTCGCTGTTGAAGGGTCGCTGTTGTAGGGTTGCTGTTGTAGGGTCGCTGTTGTAGGGTGCCACAACAGCGATCCTGTTGTGGCACCCTACAGAATGGATTGATGGATCAATACTTCTCAGAATTTTTTTAAGGATTTTTAAAATTCTTTTGACATATTTGCTAGTTACACACACAACATATTTTTTGTGGACAAATAGTATAATTATTTTTGATTAAAACTTTATGCTTCAAGAACTTATTTTTGAAAAGTATCCAACCCTTTGCTGAACAGAAAATATGAAAATGGTCAGAAAATATTTTAATTAGTCAAGTATACAACTTGTTCATACAGGTCAACAAGTAAGAAGCACAGATGGCTTTTTAAATTAATGATGTGATAACTTAGTGAGTTTATTTCATTATATATGTGTGTGTCTGTGTTTGTTGTTTTGTCCCAGGCGGCTGTGTGCTGTGACTCTCTGGACCAGAGTGGGTCAGCTGATGACCTGGCAGAGACCTGCCTCACTGAGCCCCTGGCCGCCTCCTCTCCGCCGTGCCAGAGACCATCCAGTGTGCACACACTCAAATACACTCACCCTCAGAGGGTGATCTCCTGCAAGAGCCAAAGCCAAAGCCACAGTGAGGCCCATGAACACATACCTGAGAAGGCCAGCAGTGCCTGGCAGCCAGACACAGAGGCAGAAAAGAGGCCTGTTAGCCCTCAGGACCCGTCCAGTTTGAAGGTCACCAGCACTAAATCCATCCTTCCTGCTCCACTGCTTGATCACAGAGTTGCCGGATCAGTCCCTGCCCCCATGCTGGATGAGTCTGATGAGGAAGTTGATGGAATGAACGGTTTGGTCTCTCAGCCTGCTCCTAACCGACATCTCTTTCCGAATCCCGGGGAGCAGCGGAGCCGTCTCAGTCACTCTGCATCGCCCGTCTCAGGAAGGAGCAGAAAGCGCAGGATGAGCCCACCGCCGGGTGACGAGCCAGTCACTACAGCCACACAGTGTCTAGACAACAGTGTTGAGCTGAGGAGGCGGACTCTGTCGTTTGATGCCACCACTGTCTATCCTAACCAGCAGGAAGGCTGCTCTGTGGAGGACAAAAAAACAGAGCCAAACATTCTCCTGAACTTCTGATAAGAGGCACAAAAGCTTCAGACTGAAGCAGGAGTGTTTCCTCCTGTCTCATTAGATTTTCACAGTGTGTGAAAAGAAGTCATGATGTGTGTACTAGTGAAGAACTCTAAGGACTGTTTTGTGCTTTAAGTACACAAAATGCACACATAAAAGAGAAGTTTCTTTTTCTTCTATCATAGTCTTAGCTTTAGTTCAGGCACAGTAGCGGCCCAGCTAGATTGACAACCTTCCTGTTGCTTGCTCTCCTGCTGTTATTAGTCATTATTAGTCCATTATTACCACTAGTCATCCCTTTTCTACAAGCCTAGGTCAGAATACAACACAAAGATTGTGATGCTTCTTATATACAGTGCTTACAAGAGTATTCACACCTTTTCAACTTTTCCACATGTGGTGTTTAAAAAAAAGTCAAGTTTCATTTTTCTTTCTGAAGTAAAGTATGCTGTGGATGCTGTGTGCATCATGCACTCCCACAACATGATGCTCCTACCACCATGTTCCAAAGTGTGGAAAGTTTATTTATATGCTCTTTATTTCCCACCACACATAAATTTTGTCGACCAAATAGTGAACTAGTAGTCTTACTTGACCTCATTTGCTGTATCGTCTTAATCACTTGTTGCAAAATGAAAGCATGAGACTTCTTACTGCTTTCTTAAACACAGTCTTTATCCCACATGAGCTGTGGATCTCTGCAGCTCCTCCAGGGTTGCTGTTGGCCTCTTTGCTCCTTCTCTCAATGGTCGCCTTCAAGCCACTCCATAATTTGACCTGTCTGCTGTAATCTTTGTGATTCCAGCTAATGTTCTCAACAAATCTGCAGATAACTTCATCAGTAAATTCTGATGAAGTTATCTGCAAGTGGACACTATTTACTTGTCAGATGACTCCTGTGGAATGACTTGTTACAACGGGTTTCATTTTGTAGAAAAAAAAGAGCACAAAAGCATGCAATATTTTTCATGTTTTCATAATTAAGATGTTTGCTTCTAAAGTCACTGGTAGCCTTTATTCAACAGTAGCTTCATAGGAAGAAGGGCAGAAAGAAGAGGAGGAGATATGCAGCAAATGACCCAGACAGGGTAATGGAACTAGGGACCACTGAGCTGAGGACCTCTGAGTGGTCTACCAACACCTTGGTCCCCCAACTAAGAAGATTATGTATCACTTTAGCTACATTGTTATGTAGGTCTCTCAAATAGAATCCCAATCAAATACATTTAAGTATGTGGTTTTGAATAAATGTGGAAAAATAAATAAGATTTAAATACTTTTGCAAGGCACTGTATTTTCAGAAGTTGATTTTATTTTTATTAGAAATGCATCAAGAGTCCAAAATGACTTATCAGGACTAATCCAAGTCAAAGCAATAAATGTTTGTGACGTTGTCACATTTGAGAAACTTAAACCCCAAACAGATCATTTCTAGTTGATACTAGTTTGTTGTTCAAAGTTATAGTATGTAACTTTTATGATTTTTTTTACAGATATGTTTGTTGAAACTGTTACTTTCAGTTTCAACAAACTGAAAGTAACTGTATGGTACGAAACAGATAAGCTGTGAGAAAAATCATACTCCTCTGCCTTCTTCCAGTATAAACTAGAAACAACCAGCCAAAACCAGGAAGTGGGTATTAGCGCTGTCAATCACCTCTCTGTGTGGTGCTGCTCATCTTCCCTCCCTCTTATCCTCTTGCCATCTGCTGAACTGCCAGTTGCATTCCAAGCAATCAGGAATGCTGCAATCAGGAATGCAGCATTCCTGATTGCAATGCTGCAATGCTATAAAAATCATCATACTGATCATAATCATCATGAATCTGCACATGCCCAAAGGTCTGTATTATCATTATTATTATTGTTTTCATTTTGTTTTGAATGCTGAGTGCAGCATTCCTGATTGCTTGGTCAGGAATGGTGCATTTCTTCAGATGGCAATAGTAGCTCCGGGAGGAGGTGGAGGAGATTGAACTTTTCACAGCTGATCTGTCTCATACCACAGTCACAACATGGTGACATATTTATTGTAATATAAATATCTAAAAAACAGTTTTTATAAAACTTACATACTGCAGCTTTCACTAGTTTTTTTTACCCGGTGAATCTACATTACTTTTATAGCTTTATGGTATAGTACTTTAATTTTCTTGATCTTTAAGTGAAGAGATCAACTTGATTTCTTATCCTTACAGCAGTTTTCAAAGCTAAATCATAAAAGCTAGAAGCTAGAATTACATATTGAAGTATTAAACCTTGAACATTTGTTCATGTAAACAATTTTTTAAAAGATTTGAAAAAAACGTCTTTTTAAAAAAAGCATAGGTTTAAGGAAGATCTTCAGCCTCTATTTATCTCTCACTTCTTGACCAATAGTACCACCGTATGTTCACTGTCTAAAAATCTGAAGCACTTTTATATCTTTAATTTTTTTGTAACAAACTAACTTGACTGGATAAACACCTGTCAACCTGGAAAATCGATGTTGCTTTTTGAACCATTCAGATAAAATCTTTTGGTATGACCTGAACTTCAGTTGTATCTACCTCTTTTTTTCCTCCCTTCCTTCTGCCTATTGGTATCTTAACTTTTTGCACTCCCCCTCTCTCTACATCTTTGTATTCTCAGGGTTGAAGCTGAGTGTGAAATATGTCAGTGGCCCAGCGTTAGAGGGCCCCCTGTTGTCTGAAGCTGCAGCATGCCCTTTTCTCTTGATTGTTTAAAGAGTCAAAGGTGCTTTGATGGAACTGCAGAAGGGCTCATGTAAGTGAGAAAACAATGCTTTCAGTTTGTAGAGAAGGTTATATTTTATTAAAACTGCAGACATGATAAAAGAAAGCTGCATTTCCACATTTCTGAAAATTTACCAGCATTATATCAGCAAGGGATACACAGTGAGCTGTATATGATTGGACAGAGCTGGAATAAAACCTCTTCCTCTCTGACTTCTGTCTGATTCTTGTTTCTCCTAAAGATTGTTAGAAGAAGATCGTCTCGATTTAGCATGTGCCCTGCAATCTAAAAATACGGCAGACAGTCAGCAGCTGATAATAAATTCAGCACAGCTCTAACCAACTTCCAAGCAAATGTGGATTGATATGCCTAACACGTTCTCAGATCTCATTCACGATACATAATTAAATTGAAAACTGTTTCCAAGAGTGAAAGAAGCAAAAAAAAAGAAGAAGAGAGAATTAAGAAAACACCTGAAGATCATGTGATCACAGGCAGAATCACAGTTTTGATCGTGGTGTTGACTAGTTTATTTCTTTTTTTACCAATTCAACAAATCACAATAAAATATTTAATCACATTAATATTTCACACTGTCGAAACTATTTCCTTCAAACTCAACTATTTCCTGTTGTTTCTTGCATTCATCTCACAATATGTTGGTCATACCTTCAGCTGCTGGGTGACCAGTTTGAGTTTAATGAAGAGCTACAAAGCTTCCACGTCTCTCCCACTGTGTCCACTCATAAGGGAAAGCATCTTCCCTGGTCTACATCTATGTTAATCTACACTTCACCCAAAAAGCATGCAGCCAGGATGTTGCTCAGTGTGAATCTGTGTTTCCAGGTGTGTAACTGCATACAGGTGTTAAGTGAGAACATCTGTATTCACGTGCATCAACATCTGTGTGTATGAACAGAACAAAGCTTAGTTGCCAGGGTGAAAATGGATCTAATGGCTCCCTGGAGGGGATAGAGTCCCAGTAAAACCAATAGGATGGTCCTCAGCCCATCGTATTGTTGTGTCGTTCAGATCAAATCTTCTCTTTTTGCGTTTCTAAAAAGCAGGAGCCACCGGTCTATGCTGTGTGAGTTTCTGGGGGTCCAGGGTTTCGGTGAAGGGTGTGGCTTGGTAGGGGTTGGTGGTAACGATGGTGCCTCCGTTGGGGATGGGGTAGGGAGTGGCTCGGATGTTGTTTGGAGGAGGGTCAAGGTACTGCCAGGTGAATAAGTTTGTTTTGCTGCCGGTTAGGTAGCGCCGAAGAGCGCTTAGCGTCAACACGGCCTGTTAGTAACACAAACATAAACAAGAAAGAAAATTAATGTTAATGTCAAACGTTCAGAGGGACATTCAGCAAATGTAATTATCCCTAAACTGTTGCAGGTGCAACAATATTAAATGATAAACTGAGATAAACCCTAAGAGACAAGACAATGTTTAATCATTAAGACTAAGAATCTTAAATGAGGAAAAATCATTACACACTGTACAATTCTAATGCTGGCTTATTTATTAACCTTTTGTTCTTTCGCAAACTTTATCAGACCATAAAACACAGTCTTTAGTCAAACAACTGCACCATGTGAGGAGGATAAACTCTTTTACCTTAGCAAGCCTAAGCAACACCACACATATATACAAAAACACAAAAAAAATCTATTTACAAATAGGAATATAGAAAAGGCCAGAGAAACAATCATAATGTGTTTAAGAAACAACATGAAAGGTTTCTGTTATTGGTCATAAAAATACTTCAGAGATAACTGTAATCAACTTCTCTGGAAGGTACAGAAGGTAAACATAGTCTAAGGAATATGTTTAGAAAACTGCAGAAGAATAAAAAAGTCTCAAAAGCTAAAGAACAAAATCTTAAGTAGTTCCCAATAAATGTTGTCATTTTAACTGGGATTTATTAATAATATGTGCTTTATCTTTGATATTTCAAATTAACCTTTGATTTTTACATTTTGCAAAATAATGGTTTGGGTTTGTTTATTTAATAAATGAACACTCATTCCATAATAAATATATACGACCTGATCAACCTATTTTGTTTAAACATCATGATTGATTTGTTTGGTGTTAATTACTGTTAGCAATGGAAGTTGATAATCCATTTATTTTAATTCAGTTCTAATTCAACAACAAAAGCACTTTCAAAAATTCAACCACACATTAATCAGTTAATTATGCCCATTATTTTAAAATATTTCTATTTAAGGAAACCCAGGAGATTCCATTCTCAGCATTTGCTCCTCCAGGATGAGAACACAGCGACAATTTTGATGCGACAGCAGCAACCTCTGATTTCAGTTCTCAAACTCTCCTGTCCATCAGGTTTTAGATGTAACATAGCTAACTTGGAGATCCTGGCTTTACAGCAATCCCTCATACATAGCATGGAAAAATCAATCAAGTTTGGCTTTATATGATAAAAATATAAACATAAAAAAGTAATAAAAGACAGTAAAAAATAAAGAAAAACAGAAATAAACATTACATTTTGATGAATACCATCATCAAAATCATCAATACACATAAATATGTTGGTCAGTGTTTCATTTATGACATTAAGACACTCAGTGTTTCAGCTGTTTTGCAGTTTTCTGGAAGTTTGTTCCAAATTTGTTGTGCATAGAAGCTGATCGTCGCTTCTCCATGTTTGGTTCTGGTTGTTGCAGATCAGAACCAGAACCAGAACCAGAACCAGAGGGGTTCTGGAAGGTTTATTCAACAACAGCAGATCTTTAATGTATTGTGGTGCTGAACCGTTCAGTGATTTATAAACAGCAGTTCTTCAGAGTCTATTCTCTGAGCTTCAGGGATCCAGTGAAGGACTTTAGATCTGGGTTGATGGGTTCTGTCTTCCTGGTTTTAGTGAGAACACCAGCAGCAGCGTTATGGAGGGTTGATTGGTTGGACAGGCCTGTGAAGACGCTGTTACTGGAATCAATGTGACTAAAGATAAATGTATGAATGAGTTTCTCTATATCTGACTGAGACATTAGTCCTCTAATCCTGGAGATGTTCTTCAGGTGATAGAAGGCCGACTTTGTAACTGCCTTTATGTGGCTCTGAAGGTTCGGGTCAGAGTCCATCACTACTCCCAGGTTTCGGGCCTGATCGCTAGTTTTTAGCTTCTTCCTCTCTTTAATTTTCTGAAAGCAAATAACCAGTATTTATATTAATTAAAGAGACCGACTTTGCTTGAGCATCACTTCAGTATTCAGTCAGTCCATAATTAACAGTCATCTGTTTCCAGTTCAAAGTCTCTATCCTCCTTCTTGAGCCATGGCTCAATCAGGGCAACCAGACAGACGGTTTTATGTTTCGTAAGTAATTTAACATTTGCCTGTAAAACATCCAGCTTATCTGTGGCAGACTGGCTTCTCTCGCCCGGAACGCAGCTGGAGATAGGCACCAACAACTCCCGACCCCGTTAGGGAGAAGGGTGGTCAGAAAAAAGATGGATGGATGGATGGATGGATGGATGGATGGATGGATGGATGGATGGATGGATGGATGGATGGATGGATGGATGGATGGATGGATGGATGGATGGATGGATGGATGGATGGACATCCAGCTTATGCATTGGCAATGATGACTGAGGGCAGGGGCATCCTCCTAAGGCCTCCTTAGACCTCCCCGTCGGCCCCTTTTCCTAACACCCGAATGTACTGAGGTTGATGTCCTGCTCCCCAAAGTCGGATCATGCCGGATAATCTCCGAGGGGAAGGAGCATTCTACTTTGACCATACTTGTTCCCAAATTCTAATACAACAGGGTATACTGAAGTGAATCTGGATATGTGCATAATCCTCCAAAGATAACAGCGAAGCATCACAGCAGTAAGGGAGACCACCAGCTGACATGTCATTGCGATCGAGATCATAAAAGCTGTGGTAGAATAAATTGTAAAGTTCCACACAGTTCCACAAATTACACATATTCACACACACACAATCTACTGCTCTCACTGCTGCGCTGGTCATCCAGACCAGCGCCACATACACTCATGTCACCCACCCAGAAATGGTTGACAAGATACCCTACTGAATCCATTTAAATCTTGGCAGAAATTAATTGCTGGTCAAAACAGAAACTCCACCTAGTTAGAAAGGAGCAAATCACTTAAAATAATCTTGTAAGATGAAATAATGAACTTGTATTCATCATGAAAGAATTATAGTTATTTTGTTAAATTTGGGGTTTACTGTATAACTCTTCTTGGCCTCGTTTAAATCCAAGTGTAAAAGAACAGCTCACCAAATGTTCCATTGTGCAATTATTTATTAAAGTGTGATGAAGCCAAAACAGAATTTCTGTCTGCGTCTCAAAGCTTCTAGATCTTAGTGAAACTTGCAGAGACTGCCAAGATTAAAAAATGAAATTCAGTAAGGGGATTATGGAAGCTTCAGAAACCTATCCATCCATTATCTTTACACCTGATCTCTAGTGGGGTCGCTGGTGCCTATCTCCAGTTGTCAACAGGTGAGGGGTGGGGTCACCCTGGACAGGTCGCTAATCCCTCGCACAGCAACACAGACAAGACAAACAGTCATGCACACACAAACATCCTTCAATCAAACTGACCAATCAGTTTGATTGGCCAGAGTACCATGCACAGGGAGAACATGCAAACTTCATGCAGAAAGACCCTGGGCCGGGAATCGAACCCAGAACCTTCTTGCTGCAAGGCAACAGTGCACCACTATGCAGCCTAGCTTCAGTAATCATTACACTATATTTAGCCATTCTGTTGTAAATCTATTACAAAATCTATTAGCTGGAGATAGGCACCAGCACCTCTCAATCCCACTTGGGACAGGGGTGTAAGAAAATGGATGGACGGACGGACGGACGGACGGACGGATAGTTCAAAATTTGCTTTCGGCTATTGATTGACTTTCTACACTCCTTGCAGAAAAAGGTAGAGTTATCACCAACAGTGGGAGAGAGGCATACATCCTCCACACTTAAACAATATATTGAATAAATAATCATGCATTTATTTAATGATGTTTTTATTTGTGAAACTGTAACATTGTTGGTTATTCATACTGCCGGTGCGTGAAAGTGTGTTCAAATATTGGACAACAAAAAAAGTGGGGGGAGTCTTAAACAAAAGCCCTTTGTGGAAGAAAGAAATATGATTCTTTCCAATAGCATCAATAAGCAAAACAACATATGGTGGGTTAAATGCACATGGTGATGAAGATGATAAAAACAGAAAGAAAAAATACAAAGTGACATAATGTCACTTTGTATGCAACATAATGTGCAACATAATGTGAATAAAAAAGGTACAGACCCAGCTTAGGATTGAAAAGAAGCAAAACGTGATAATAGCTCTGGCAGCGTCTGAGCCCTGGGCCAATGGCAGCTCATCTGGCGACGTGGCCTGCCACTGATTGGCCAGAAAACAGAATCCAACAAACCACAGGAAGCTGGCCATTCCTGAAAGAGAAAAACAGGACTGTATTTATTTTCCACAGTCAGCTGTATCACATTTTTCTTTCTGTTGTTCTTTAGTTCAATGTATTTACCAGGCATTTTTGGCCATTTTATAGCACAGTTGAGTAATTATGTCACCTCTAATTGTTTTAAAAGTTATATATATATATATATATATATATATATCAAATCAAACGACTTAAAAGAAAATTGACTTAATAATGTAATTGGTTGCAATTCTGTCACTTGTCTCTTCAAAAATTCCTGTTCTTTCTGAAACTCTGCCCACAGGAAGTCATCATAACATTGCTCCTTTGTTAACCATTTAATAGCGTTTTCACCAACGTTTCACTGAGAAGTAGGTCCCATGATCAGCTCAGTAGTTTCAGCAAGGGTTTGCTAATCGCTGCTGGCTAGTCCAAAGGAGCTGAGAGAGGGAGTTGTTGGGGATTGATGCTCTGCTAGGTGGAAGCTCGGCTTGGAGACTGCAGCTCTGAGCAGGAGCTTGGTCCTTGAAGGTGCCACTCGGTTCACCCAGGTGTTTTGCACAGCTGAATGGTTTCCATGGAGTTTCAAGAATTTCTCATGAAATGCATGAAAGAATCAAGGCAACACTCCATGTGTGATTTCAATGAGATAATAACATTAGAAGATGATGCAATGCTCAAAAAAGTAGATTTTTCATAATACTGCTCCTTTAATATATATGTTTTAGTTTTCTCTTATCACTTTGCATAAATCAGGAAGACTTTGTGGTCTTTGATCTCTACCAGAAAAGATGAGGTCGAACAGCACCGCTCGTTTTCGGTCCTTGAGGTTACTCATAGAAGGGAAGTAAACATCCAGGATCAGGAAACAGATGCTGCCAAGGAAACAGGCCACGCCCACAGTCATGCCATAGTTACAGGCATGAGCATTATTGTTAAAGACGCACAGTAAACGTTCGCTGCCGATGTTGATGTAGCCCTCGTTCACTATGCAGCTGAACACCACGATGGAGAAAACCTGCAGACAGAGAAAAAGTATCATCTACGAGACGTCACTGATGGATGACGTCAGAGACATTTATGAATGCTTGATTTCCCAAGCAGATCGATATACACATACTCAACAAAGCAGTGAGGTTTGAATGCATCCGAAATTAATCAGTTTAAGAACAATAGTTCTTTTGTTGGAAATATGCTAAAGATGTTCACAAAGTCGCCCTTCTTATCATCTTAGGCATATCTAAAGCCTAAGGACTAATGTCGGAGCAAGATTTAAAGGAACTCATTACTGCAACATTGTCTTCACAAGTCTGGCTGAAAAAAAAAAATCAAACCTCCAGCAGCGGTGTTGTTCCAGCTGCAGCGGTTCCAGCAGTATATCCACCACAAATCTAGAACAAGCTTCCAGAAAAATGCAAACCACACGAAGTACTGAGCTCCTTCAAATCAAGACTAAAGACTAATTTGCTTGTAGTTGCCTTTGAATAATTATAACAGAAAAATGATTTCTCTTTTTTTTTTTTTACGCATAAAGTAATTATTTATTTGTTGTTTTGCATGTTTTATCACATATGTCACTTTGAAATACCTTGCTGAGATGTGCTATTCAAATAAACTTGGCTTGACCTATTTATATATAATGTCATTTAATAGTGTAAAGGAAACAATGCAAAATTTAGAGTTTGGGTTTGGTTTGGTTTTGGTTTTGGTTTGATTGACTAGCAACTTGTCCTCAAAAATAAACTCAGAGAGATGTTGAACTAATTGGGGCCTACCATAGCAATGCAGTGACTGACATGCAAAGCAAGTCAGTCACTGCCTCCCAATGCATGCAATGCATGGAAGGCATCTATTATTCTACACCTAATAGAATGTCTCTTTAAACTTTATTTATTAATAATCCGTCACCGTGAATGCGGCTCATACTGCTGCAAGAAACCCCACAAAAAAGGTATCAAAACGTGCAGCTCGATCCCAGTATGAGGGCTATTACTTTTATTGGGGTTTTGAGTAAAAATGGAGGCATAAAAAGTTAGCTAAATTTCCAACTGCCAAACCTTAGAGTGTAACTGACACCAACTGCCGCTCCATTAAAGTGAGAAATGGAGTGGATTTTTGACCCCAAAATAATTTTGAAATAGTCCTCAGGCCTACAAAAATCACTTTACTGGTACTCTAATATGACACCAAATGCCTGTTCCTGTAAAATGTCTTCAAAATGTTTCTAGGGCTGACGGTTTTTTGTCAAGGCGCTTCAGAGCAAACGCATGTGACAGAGTAAACTCAGCCTCCCAGCCATCTATTTTCATCCTTTTCTCAAAAATTTCAGACCTCAGCCCACACCATCTCTCTCATTGCTGTTATTACTGTGAGTGAGCTACAGAGGTGAATCACAGTACAATCAGAGATGACAAATAGCCCTCTCATATTCTTGAAATGGATTCTGGATCGACCTTACGGTTCCAGAACGGGAAGGAGTTGTTTGGAGTGCTTTTTTCATAAAAACTGACTGGATGTCTCACAAAGATAGAATTCTTTCTCCACCTCGCTGTCTCACACAAACATGGCAGTTAGCACAGGATTAATTATTATAGCAACAGAACACAGAGAAGGGCAGAACTACAAAGATGGCATCTTTGTAGTTCAAACCAGCAGCTCTAGCTATGGCGGAACATTCAGACACTACAGAGGCCTGAGTTGGCATTCAGAACTACTTGCTGTTTTGGGCAGTATGTGACTGATTTAACCCAACAACTGTTACACATTGGATTAGTATGGTCATTTAAAATTAAGCTTACTGAAAATTTCAAAATAAGAGGAATAATGAATATTCCTCTCAGGCCTTTGTTATCTTTCTTTCTTAGGTTAGCATAGAGAGAGCTACATATATGAATTGGAGACAAGACATGGCACTCTCATATGCTTCAAATTATTTTCGAATATGGTTCCTGAATGGGAAGGAGTTGTTTGGACCACTTTTTTCATAAAAACCGACTGGGTGTCTCACAAAGTTAGAAATCTTTCTCCACCTTTCTGTCTCACACCCCCCCCCCCCCCCCCCCCCCACACACACACACACACAACAGTGGGCAGAGGGCTTAGCGCCCCTTTAAAACTACCATGATGGCTGAAGGTTAGAACTACAGTGATGACGGAGGGCTGAGTTGACAGTTAAGTACTACAATGATGGTGGAACTCCGAGTTACTACAGAAGAAGGCTGAGGAGAATGTTAGAACTACAGTCATGTCATAGTGTTTTGTGTATTATATATATACACAATTTATTGCCCTGATTTCCCCCTTATGACAATCTTAGAACGTTCTGCAGTGTGTGGTGTGTTACGACTGATAGGGTCCAGTCAGTAGAACGTCAGGACTGCTCCCATCTGAGATCGGACAATTCAACATGTGTGGAGTTTTCCCTGACTGGTCGTGAGAATGCAGCTTGTTGAATGTGACAGGTAGCCAATTGTAAAGCACGGATTCCCCTCCGTACTTTCCCTTCAGAAACATGGAGAGGAGCCCCAAAAAGCTAACGTGGTGCAACCCAGAGTCCAAAGGACATCTGAGATGATATGTGGAAGCAACATTTTGTGCAAAGAATATCCACAGAAATGACAATGAAAGGAGTCGGAGCAAAATTGCTAACACAGTTGATTCCGGTAATTTTTCAGCTGTTCATCGTTAACGTGACATAATTAGGTTATAACAATAAGGTTATTCATTTAGTCAGGGCTTGACGCTTAAAGAAAGGTAATTGCCATTCGTAAAACATAGAATAGAATAGAATTCAACTTTATTGTCATTGCACTGTCACATGTACAAAGCAACGAAATGCCTGGTTTTAAAATGAGTTAACTGGACTTGTAGACATTATTTTGTGCATATTGTTCTCAATATAATTGTACACATTAAAACAGCAAATACTAATTAACTGATGAAACTCAAAGAAAGGACAGAACAGAAAAATAATCTAAACACACAAATGGTTTAGATGAAAAAACTTAACTTTTAAGAAAAACAGAGCCGCCATGTGCCCTGTCTCCAAGCTTTTATCCAACACCTTTTCTTCTGTTACATCTTTTATGTTTAAAGTGAGCTGATAAACTGTTGCTATTGCTTCTTTGTTGTCGGACATGTTAGTGGGCTTTTCCTGTATGTTTGGTCTGGAATCTAAATGTTAGTGAGAAATCAGTTTGTGTGTGGTGTGTTGCTCTTGCTGTGTGGCTGGCTGAACACCACACACTGCACGATCGGCCCGATTGAAGCGTTATACCTCCCATTTTGATCGGGTAGTGTGTGGGCTTAACGGATTTAACCCAACAACTGTTACACATGGGATTAGTTTGGACTAATCTCTGAGCGTTTAGTTTGGACTAATTTATGAAGCGAACTGAAAATTTCAAAATAATTTTTGTATACACCAGGAAACTGCTCTTTTGGGCATTATATAACTGTTTTAACCCAAACAGTGGATTAGTGTGGCCACTTAGAATTAAGCATACTGAAAATTTCAAAATAAAAGCTCCAAAGCTCTCAGGTTAGCACACTGTCATAAGCGGTGCAGTAATATTGGCTTGTATTACCTTTACCTCTCAGGTAATGCATTGTCTTGCACAGCAAGACAATGCATTGTGCTAGAATGCTAACATTAGTACAAACATTAGCATTCCACTGCCCCCCACTAGCATTAGCCTTTTACCTAAAATAAGCATTTTAGCTATTTCTTATGCATTAGCTATATTTAGTATACTGAATGAATGAAGTGAATGCAATACGACATGCAAGTGATACTGACATCATTCATGCTAACATTAGCATTTTGGATACTAATAAGTAGCATCGAAGTGCTGATTTCCAACGAACGGGCACACGTTGGCAGGCCCCAGTTAAATTTCTTTAGGAATTTTCTAGTTGATATATATGAGTTGGAATTTGAAATGCTATCAAGTTAAGAAATCATTGCACATGCTCAGAAGTTTAAGGAACTTTAGTGATACAGCTGTTTTTCTGAAGATAATTTAGTGCATTTATATTTGTGGTCTGTAACTAAGAAGTTGAAGTCAGAGAAAAATTCTAGAGTTCTGTAACTGCAGTTTTTTCAGTCTTTCAGAATTACAAAACAGCAGTTATATTTCTTCAAATAAGTTGTATTATTTAACTTTTAAAAAATCTAACACTTAAAGTTTTGCCCCAAAACAAATAGTGCAAAAAGCCAAAATTGTTTTGCACCATTTGTTTGTTTAGGCACTCATGTCAGAACAAAGTTACTTGTGAATATTAGTTATTAGTTGACAACATAGAAAGAACCTTCTGGGTTGTCAAATACGGTAGTCAAAGTAACCTGCCATTAAAGTTAACTGTGACAGAAATGTGACTCATTTTTCCTTTCAATTTGCTCTTTAGTGAACATTGTTTAGTATTGTGAAAACTAATGAAGATGGAAAAAGTTTCTTAATATGACAACTGAAACCAGAGTACATATATTTGCATTACACATATAATGAAGGGATTCTGTTGTGCTTGGCTGTTTTTGTCAAGTGGCTTCAGTGAGGGATTGTGGATAGGATTTGTTTGTTCCTATCATTTCAGTTTTGCACTCTTTTTTTTTAGCAATTAGTCTGTTCCTATTACTACTGTTTATATGCTCATTATGTGTTAGTGTTGAATTATGCAGTAATCATAATTGAGAGAGGTAGGCACCATAAAGAGATGTGTGTTACAGAGACGGCTTTGAAAATGCCATCTGATAGTGGATTCTTGTGTTATAAGAAGGGATGAATCTTCTCTATATAACTGTAAGGTACTAGGCTCGTAATTTGAATAATGTAATGAATGAATGTTTGTTCCACAGAACAAAAGTGTTGTAATTTTCATTCATGTAACTACACTGTGTAGAAATTGTAATAATCTAAAGTGAACTAACACCTAATTAAAACTAATAAAGAAATATGCAGCCAGTTAAGTTGGAGCTGCAGTGTATTTTTCATTGGTTTCACTAAATACATGTAACCGGGTGGTGTGTTAGATGGAAACAGTGTTTCCATGAAGTGGCTGTAAATTCCGACCCGTTTCAGGCCCTTGAAACCATCATGTCCCGTCACTTCCGTTTCACAGCATTGTGGGGCTCATTAGTGCACTGGGTGTGCCCACCAAGCTACAAATGTCAGGTCTGCTGTGTGCAGTTGGATCTTGATTGGATGAGTGCGGCGCTGTGCTCATCAGGCCAGGATTTGGATCACGGATATTTGTGACACAGGATCCATTTCAGTGTCTTTCCACTGCAGCGTCTAAATGTACCAGTTGTGTGGCTGATTAAGATTGCTGCTGTTGCATTTTATGCTCTCACCTCGGTGCATTTTTTGGTGCTCTTGGTTAATTGGCTAATAGACATCCTCTAGAATTGGAGTTGTAGTACAAGCACCACAGAACCACAATGGGAGTTCATTCTTCTTATATTTTATGAATTATTTGACTGGGCACAACTTTATAGGACTGGGTTGATGCAACATGAGATTTGCTTTTCTTTTGTTTAACATTATTTTGTGTCATTTACTAATTTGATTTGAAGTTCTTGTTTAAGTCTCAGATTGTTTCTAGTGTTGTCCTGGGGTTCTGTGCTTCATTGGGTTTTAAATTAGAATAATAAAGTCTGTTTTTAATATTGTAAAAGAATGAATAAATAAAATATATTTCATATACCATTTCTGTTTGAGAGGTAGGCACCATAAAGAGGGAGCCAGACTCAGGGAGCCAGACCTCCCTGAGTACTTTTAATTGGGAAACCCTAGGCCACTCAATATCAATTGAGAGGTCTACCAGTTGCCTTTAGGGCCACGTCCTCTGAACACAACTCAGTTTTGTGGAAATTGTTTACATAACTGTATTTAGTAAATTGAACAAGTTATTTTTTATGAATATGCTCTGCTTCTTGCCCATGGACTCCACACCTCCACAATTAAGTTGATTAAGTGATGAAGTGATGCTGTTGGATGATTCAGTAATTAATGGCATCAATCTGTGATTGGAGCCCTTCTGCTTCATTTATGCAATTGTGTCAAACTATTTTGACACAAATGTAAAGTAATTTGTCTTCCTCTGATGGAGATTATATTGATAGGTTGGTCCACTTGGATCCGCTCCTTGAGGATGTCTCTAACCCGCAGTCACTGAGAGTGTCTGAAATCAGAGCTGTGACGATAATAATAATAATAATAATAATAATAATAATAATAATAATAATAATAATAATAATAATAATAATAATAATAATGGAGGAACTAGGGTCTGGTCTAAGAAAGGAATTCAAATAATTGACTTTCAATCAGATCAGAATTATTCCTTCTGTTAACTTCTCTTTTGTTGGTACATTTATTTTTGTTTTGTAGCTACAGGGACTGCTCATATTATCACAGCAGTGTCTTGTCAAAATAAAATGCTTATTTTCTTCAGATTTCGTTCAGTTGGAAATATTGCTTCTGTTATTTTAACAATGAAAGTGACTTCACTGTGAGAGCTGGAGGCGACATCTGATGGAGAGTTCTTTATGATTTTCTAACAAAATGATTAATTATTAATGTCCTTTTATCCATGAAGGCATCAAAAAGCTTTTTACTGATCTGTCAAATGCATATGTCTGAGAGTTTCTTTCTCTACATTGAGCTTTTTCAGTTGTTCATTTTTATTCAAATGTACATTTTTGCAAAGCACTTCTGTTAAACCGTACTAAGATGAATAATAAGAGAAAACAGACACATGATGACTCACAGCTGCACGGCATCACATCACAATGGAAACAAGGGTTTCATCTTGAGCCGAAGCTTTTAAAACATAAAACCTTCTTTTGTTGGCTTCTTATCGACAGAAACAGAAAAATTCAGTTCCTCAAATTAAGATTTTGTCTAAAAACACAACTGGAAAGCTTGACTGGAAAGCATTCTATAAAATGCAGAAGTAATTGTCGCAAAGCAGAAAATCAGAAAGGGGAGCTGCAGGGAGGCCCGACTATTCATGGAGACCCGCATCACGCATTTGGAAGAGGAGGCTTACCCACGATAGCAGTCTGAGGATGGTGCGGGGATGCGTGAAAAACGCGACGGGATCGAAGGGGACTCTCCCGGCCTTCATCGCTCCATACGCACCCACTGTCTCCATCCCTCCGAATTTCAGCTCCCTGAACGAGGCTGAGAAAGCGAGAAGAGTCGGTGAGAGAGACAGAGAGACAGACAGAGAGAGACAGAGAGAGGGAAAGAGAGAGAGAGACAGAGAGAAGGAGAGAGAGAGAGAAAGAGAGAGAGAGACAGAGAGAAGGAGAGAGAGAGAGAAAGAGAGAGAGAGACAGACAGAGAGAGAGAGACAGAGAGACAGACAGAGAGAGAGAGAGAGAGAGAGAGAGAGAGAGAGAGAGAGAGAGAGAGACAGAGAGAGAAAGAGAGAGAGAGAGAGAGACAGAGAGAGAGCGTTTTCCTCCAGCCAGCAGATGGCGTCACATCGCGTCACCGAGGCTCATCTCAGGCTGCAGCATCGCCGCTCCGTCCTCAGTCGACTCCAACACCTCCATCTCAACAAATCCACGTTTGCCTTTCTGTTTTTGTCTTGCTTTATATGGATGTTGGTCTTTTTCTATTTAAGAAGATGAAGGCGAACCAGGATCTTCCTTAAAGATTTCAACATATCAAAATTGCCCTTACAGAAGAAGCACAAGATCTAAACACGTATTTTCTGCGGACATTTTAATATTTTCAACGTTTTTTTTTTCCATCCATCCATCCATCCATCCATCCATCCATCCATCCATCCATCCATCCATCCATCCATCCATCCATCCATCCATCCATCCATCCATCCATCCATCCATCCATCCATCCATCCATCAGTAACTTTCAAAAAAGTTAATTGGAGTGCCAGCGTTACAGAACGTTTTGAATTGTCATCGTCTTTGGTCTTTGGTTTTTCTTCTGGGTTTGATTTGTACATTCTGGGCTAAAACATGTTCATCTCTTGGACACTGCACCTATCTCCACCTTATAACCACAAATGAATCTCCAATCAAATGATTCAGTTAAACTATTAGGAGTTTCCAAAGCCATAACATAATCTGGGGTTTCCCCTCATAGTTTAACCCTCTCATGATCAAATTACTTGAAAAGACTGTCTAAGTTGTTGTAAATCTGCAACACCTGCCTGGAGAGGGCTAAAGACCATTTTTTATGTAAACTTCTGATTTTGAAGACAGAAAATAAATAATTTGACATATTCTCTCATTATATGACAAATGAAAATACTTTTGTTAATTAACTAACCTAAAATAAGTGAAATTTGGTCTGATTTAACTTCAAACTGTAAAAAAAAGAAGACGAAAGAAACAAGTTTTTATTTGGTGTACATACATTTTTGGTTTTAACTTTGTTATGTCTTTTATGTCTCTGTCTTCAAAAACAAATAAAACATTTGTCCATTTCTGTAGAAAAAAAACAAAGAAAAGACAAAAAACCCAGTAAACTAAGTTATGATTTATGCTTTCTTTTTAGGTTATTCCAAAACATAAAAAACATAAGAACATCTAAAGCACTTTGTTTGCATCAAAAAACCTACAAATGTTATTGGTAGGTAGAATTCAATAGCTGAAGTCTTTATTTGATAATATTGGCCACACAGTTTGTAATCTGTATCCTAAGATTTTTCTGGTCATCAAACATTTTTCAATATCGGACAAAGGAAACCTGTGTGCAACGCTGGGGGTTGAGTTCTGTGTGGATTTGGGGCAGTTCCAACGGTTATCCACCAGAGGGAGCCAGGGGTTTACTGCTAACTTGAAAACGGACCTGCTGAGAAACAGCAAGAGCTCAAGAGGAGCCAGTTGCCAGAACCTGCGATGGAAACTGGCTCCTCAGTCCAGCGACTGTGTGTTAACCAGGGTAAACTGAGGACTCTGTGCCTCCCAGTGTTTGCTGTCTGAGCTTTTTGTATTTTTTTACTTACATTTAAGTAACAAAATACATGTCCCATGTAATATGAGGCATCATTTGGTGTCAGTCAGCAAGACAACACAAGTGTCAAAATGGGGTTTTAGTGTGTTGGCCAAATGAAGCTTTCATAAAGAAATGAAGCTTGCCAGCCCTTTGCTTTGCCCAAAAGTTCATTAGTTGATGCTTCATTCATTGCTTACTAGTGACATCTGCTGCTGAAACTGACACCTTTGTCACGCCGATCATACTTTTACAAATTTGTACTATGTAATACTGTCAAAACATTTTTGTCAAAAATGTGTTTAGTGACGGTAGATTCACTTAAATCCTATAGAACTGTAATCTATTTTTAGTTATTAAAATGATCTGTACCCAAACTGTCAGCAGTCGTGTTTTCTTCCATCTCAGACTGATCTGAGAATAAAGACACATACTGTTTTAGTGTCTTAGGAGTCCAGTGCTTGTTGGGACAGATATTCTTTGTGTTTTAATTTGCTTCCTGAAAAACTAAAAATCTTCAAAATCCTTTTTTTTTTTTTTTTGGATGTCTACTTGGCTCTGATTCTTTATATTTAGTCATGCAGAATTTTACTTTTCCAACAGTTTCAAGTCTGTTTCTTCAGACCTCAACAGACTTGGACAGAAGTCTGTTTCTTCTGTCCAAGAAAAAACATATGTCTTGCTGATCAAACTCCAAATAGTTGAATTTTCCAGACTCAGTATTTGGGGAGGCTGCAGGAGTTAATCCACAATAAGATTAATAAACCACAATAAGATTTAAGACTCATAATGTGAGCAATCATCTCAAGTGTTCCATATTTCAATCTAGTTTATTTTTAAGGCACATTTCAGCAACAATGCAGCTCAAAATGCTTTAAATCATAAAAACACAAAAATATACATAAAAACTCAGTGGATTCAACAATTAAGAAAACCAGTAAATATTACATTTTGATAAGTTCCATCATCAATGCACATTAGATATGTTGGTCAGTGTTCCTTTTATTTCATCCACTGCTGAAGCGGCACAGCTCATCATGCTTTTATTTTGAAAACCAACACGCAAAATGAAGCAGTTTTGTGTCCCATGTAATATGAGGCATCATTTGGTGTCAGTCACATGGTTTTCAGCAAGACAACACAAGCGTCGAAATGGGGTTTTATCCTACACGGCTCCTTTTTACTCTGCACACTCTCCTTCCTCTAAAGGTTTTCTCAGCAGTGCTCTGTGCTGCTTTGGTTTCTCCTTGTGCTCTCAAGACTCTCTGTGAAGTTCAAACCCATGATTGGCAACATCTTGCTCCTCCTCCTTCAAGCCTGTGCCGCGTAACCTGTTCACCCTCCAACAATATAACCGTCCAGCATCCTCCACCAGACCGCTCCATGTGTTTTTCAATGCTCCCAGTGTTGCACAACTCTGGATTAAGGACAAGACCCTGGAACCCAATCACGTCCCCCCAGGCGGACTCACCTCTATTTCCGTCAGTCTGAGTGATACATTCATTAGTGACTGTTGCCCACCATTAATCTACTATATTTCCATTGTTCTCGCTCACCCCACTCCATCAGGCTACCGGACAAAGATGCACATTTGTTATTCATTGATTGTTCAGTAAAGTTAACATTTTCTCAAAGACTCCTGAAAGTATTCTAAAGAATCAGTTTATTGAAAATCTTTTACCCGACTTTATCAAACTCTACCTTGAATCGGACTCACCATCAACCTTAGCACTTAAGAGATTTTCTGATTCTACAGGTCTGGCAGTAATAAAGGTGCCCAGTGGAAAGAAATAGAAAATGTGGTGATTTGCAATTCATTTTTTATTTAATTATTTCTAAGCTTGATTTAGATGTTAATAAAGAAAATGTAATCATATATAAAAATTATTTGACACATACATAGCACATACAGACATATTTTGAGTTACGGTATCAAAGCTCATCTTTGGATTTCTTTTTCTTTGCTTCCTCTGTCTTGAGAGTCTCTATGTACTCCCTCCTGTCTTCGTCCTCCTGGAATAACATGGAGTTAAAATCTCATTTTAACACAGAAAATATTTCAGTTTTCTCACTCCTAAAAACTGTTGCATAATTTACCTTAACTCTGTCTCTTTTGGCCTTTTTCATCTCTTTATCCATAAACCTAACCAAATCTTTTATGTTCCTTGGCCCAGAATAAACCACCACCTTGAAGTCACAGAAGAAATATTCCATGCTTTGTAATTTGTAAACAGGCAAAAAAAAAACAAAAACATTCTGATGATTTACTGCTGAGAATATTTCAATAAATGAACCAGTGAATAATACATACCCTCTCAGCGTACAGAGCCGGAAACAGGCAGAGGGATGGATAGGAACCCTGCATTGACATGTTGATATCATTGGCTGAGGCGTCGATTTGAGCTATGACCACATCCTCCCAATCCTTGACGACTTCAGCCAGCTCCTCCCACAGTGGAAACATGGCACGGGACATTTCACTGTATGACAGATCTGGGACCCAACAGACAAGAAACAGTCGACAGCTATACACTACACTGACGAGATGAATAAAACCAAGCATTAACTCCTTAAACTAGATGGCAAGAATATAATAAGCATGAAAGGGTGTTAATCTAGACCAACTCTCTCTCCACCCTTCTTGATTAGTGGATCACACAAGACACTGACAAAACACTTTTACCAGTAAGACTTTTTGGTTGACCAGTTAAAGCAGGAACCATGCTTATGACCCAAAGTTTAGATGTAATGTTCCAAAAGTCAAATATTCACAAAAAAACAACTAGTGACAAATGTTGTGCTGGTGATGTAGTAATTTGACATGCAAGCTAGTCAGCACACAATTGTACTTGCTAGGTCAGAACCATAAACTTTTATTGTCATTTTGAAGCCAAAATGTGGCGCAGTTAGTAGCCCAGTTGGGTTTGATTCCCAGGGGTCTTTCTGCATGGCGTTTGCATGTTGTCCCTGTGCATGCATAGCTTTTAACAAGCTATGCATTGTTAAAATTAATTGAAGGCACAGAATCATCCCACTACAGGTTCACATCTTCAGCTTAGAGACTCGCCTGGTATAAAGTTATCATTACATTACATTTGCAATGTAATGTAATGATACATTCTGGTCCCTCCAAAATATTTTGGAGGGACCAGAATGTAATATCGTAATTTGTTGTGAGTTCATTTACTGTGTTGGTTTATTTTTTTGAGCGAGGTGATGTTCATTTTGTGCAACAGTAGAAAAAAACATACCTATGTCTTGAATATGAAAAAAATAATCACATTTTATTAATCATTAAAGAAAGGTTCAGTGAATGTGCATATGAAACTGGTGGGTTCGGTACCTCAGAAAAGATTAAGAACCTCTGTATTAGGTGTGTTGGACCAGAGACATAGAGTATCTACAAGTCACAGGACCCCAGCCCCAAAGTGTTTAGGACCACAGTGCTAGATGAAGAATTTATAAAAATCTACAGAACTTATATCCATATCAGAAACTTAACATATTAAAAATAAGAAGTCATTCTCCACAAAAAAGAAAAAAAATCTCAACAGATGGAGATAATGCCTGAGCATCAATGAGCTTCAGAAGTAATGAATTTTTAAGTGATTTTATTTTATTATGAGTTTGTCAGCACACTGTAAGCTCCAGTGATCAAGTGATGACATTTTGTTGCCAATTTCACTATTGTGTCTTTTTGCAATGACAGTACAATATGTCCAAGTATGTAATTTGGACTTGGTCAAAAATTTCTGACCATTTTCATGTAGGAGCAGTTCAAACTGAGCTAGAACAGAAAAAGTTTTCCTTAACTTTAATTATTAATAAAGATTACACTCAACTGTGAGTAAAGTTTACTTACAAAACAAGACAAAAACAGTCTTGTTGGGGTTGAAGGCTACTTTCTCCAGAGTCATTCCTACCAGCTCCTTAACGGGTTTCTGATCCCATCTTTCAGGGATAGGCTCACTCATCAACTTGGGCTGTTTAAAGCACACAGACACGTAACAAACCAGACGCATAGCTTCATGCCAAAATGCACATCTGACTGTGATTTACCTTAGCCTTGCCTTCAAGGTAGGACTGGCAGAACTTTTTTATGCTCCCAACGTCCAAAGTCTCAGACAGCATTTGGTAGGTTATTTGATCTGTCAGATTTACCAGTCGGATGTGAGGAGCGTCAAAGTGCCGAACCCGGAAGTACTCCATGAGTCTGCCGTTACGATGTTCATCCACATTCACCAAGACGAATAGGATCTGGGGAAAAACACATGAAAGCCCACTTTCAACAATCAGGACACCAAATGAGCACTTTGTGATGAATGGCTTGAAATGTGGACCAGATAAGATCTGGAGTAGATTTTTCTGTTCCCGTTTAACGACAGAAACAAGTTTGATGGTGAATAAGCCAAAATCAGGAGCTTCAGATATGAAAAATCACCAAAGATGATCACCTATCAGTCTGATCTGAATGATGAAAACGGCACACATTGGGAACAAAAAAGTTTGATAATATAAACTGAGAAGAAAAAAGAATAAATAAAATAGTCACAATAACTGTGAGGAAAGTAAAACAAAAAATTATGCAAATGCAAGAGGAATTTGAAAACTTAATCTTTATACCAGTATGTTCATAGCTTGAGTTTTTGTGTTGATGCAGTGCTTAAGCACTTCCTTAAATAGAATTATGTCACCTTAAAAATTTAAAAGATGGAGGTGACTTTTAGAAAAGGGCATTTGTGAATAAAACCTTAGCCAGATGATAAAGTCATTAATATCATAATTTAATACTTCATCCCCTCTTACACCATATGTCATTACATTAAAGATTAAAAGCAGAACAGATTTATTGTACGAAGTTCAGCTTTAAAAATCTTTCTAAAAGCATTAAAGAAGTTCCAATTGAACAAATTGAGTTGTCTGAATATGTCACAAAACACAGGAATTTATATTTAGAGAGATTTTTTACATTTACATTTATTACATTTCTCTTGCAGAATTAGTTTTTTTTTTTTAACAAAATCATAATTTGATAAAAAGTTGCCATTGGAAATATGGCGGTGTTCACAGAGCAAGCAGTGTCTGTCACAAAAAATTAGTTTTCAAATGTAAAGTATTTAAGTAATTGTTTCTCACTACTGAACATGTGTGAATACTATCTAATTTTGCTCTGCATTCAACAAGTAACAAAAAACATTTGAACTGACACATATCGCCTGCAATGAGATTGGTAAGCAAAATTACTGTACATTTAAAATAACTTTTTTGTTTGTAGTAGTTGTGCTTTTTAGCTGAACAAATGCCTGAACAGTGACCAGTCTGCCATTTTGGATGTTGAAGTTGCAACACAGAGCACACTGTGCCAATTATCACAGTTTTGTGCACTTATAACCTGTTCAGCTGAACCCTTATCCACTTGGATCGAGTCCACACTTCAAAAGATTTCAGCCTGAGAATGAATAGTATATCTGCTGGTGAGCTTGATTAGTCAACAAGCCATCTGGCTGATTAGAAACAAGCTGGAGGTATGAGGGAAGAGAGCAGAAGGCAGGCCTGCCTAAGATCAGTAGACTGTGCACTGCTAGTGAATAATTAGTAGCCACCCATGCACACCTACTAGAAGGAAACAAATGCACCCAGTATAACACTTTTATTCTATTGGTTGAGAAGTTGCAAGCAATGGTACTTTTTGTTTCAAGGGTGAGCAGAGAGAGTTGATCTAAGCATAGACAAGTTTTTAGTGCGAGGAGAAAGGTTTGAGAAAGTACAGTGATTATTTGAAAGAGAGCAGATGGCTGGGGTACACATTTTGAGAAGACAGACATGAAGTCCTGATTTCAGTCTGAAAATGTGTGCTCTCAACATATGGCAGAAAAATTTCCCCATGCAATTTTCCAATAATTACTATGTCGTCAGGATTGTCTATTTATGGGGTTCAAAGTACGGAGACCATAAGTTGGGTTCAGGGATTAAAGTAAGAATTGAGTTTAGATTAGGGAAAAGTTTTGGCCTTTAGAAATTAATGAAAAATAAATGGAATTCTATGGAAAGTGATGGCAGAAAGACAGTGTGTGTGTGTGTGTGCATTGGTGTCTGTGTGTGTGTTTGTGTTTATACCTTCAGCCTAAATGCCTCTGCAGCATTGTAGAAAGCAGAGAAAATCTCTCTAAAGTCCTCAGAGCTTTTGTTGACAAAGAGCAAAGCATGGTTCAACACAGGAGAACCGAGGATCTGTGAGGCTGTCTGCAGGAAGAGGGAGAGAGACAACAGTCTAAGATTCTTAGCACGTCCAAATAAAAAACAACTCAGCAAAAGACTGGAAAGTCCACTGAAGAATTTAAAAATTGTCTGATATATATCCTGATTGAGACAAAAGAAGAAAACAATAGTGTTAATTAAAAATTAAAAACAGTGTGTGCAAGTTTGAAATGTCTTTCTCTTTTGGTTTCCATAAATTAAGTGCATATCAAGGATCTCTGCAGGTTTTCCAAAAGATTTCTTAACACTTAAATCTGTTTTTCACTGACTTTCAGTCCAGAACCATGTCTGTAGTAAATGATGCTTTTGATCCTTTAGGCATGAGAATACAACAGACAGCTTACCAAAAAGCCATCTGTAAACTGGATCTTCAGGCATCTTATCACAGAACTCTATTTGGTCCCATGTTTTTATTGCATCTGGAAATCTTTGAAATATACCTGGCCGTCATATTCAGTAACTGGATCCATCTGGTAGACAGAGATGAAAACAACCAGCTCCTCTTTCGGTGTATCTGGCTTCATTGTGTACGTCTGAATGAGCTGAGACTGAAACACACGCAGAGATGAGATGGTAGGAAGGATGGATATATAGAGGGAAAGCATCCCAAAACATGGAAACACACACACAAGCACACGCATGTACATATATGTAAAGATATATATATCTCTATATAGAGATATATATATAGATATATATATTGATATATATATGTAAAAAGTAAAAAGACTGTCGGTCATTTGGCAGGTTATAATCAACACCCCTCACTGATGCACACAGAAAGACATCATAGACTTTCCACAAAGATTTCATTGCAGAGGCAACTAAAGTCAATCAGTAAAAAAATCCTTTCTGAATATCATCTCATGGACTCTGAACTAAATGAGATGATATTCATCTCATGTAGAGATGAATATCAACACGCTGTCAGCTTCTGACCGGAGCTGACAGCATGTTGAAGAGTAATGGCGCCTTTAATTCAAGTATCCATTACAGACCTCAAAAAGCGCATGCCCGGATCGAGCAGGCAATAAAAAATAAATAAAATAAAAGTTAGAAGGTTTATATGTTTTTGTCGTGACTATACTTTTTTGAGCAGCAGAACAACATCTTGAGTCACAGTATATTTGCTGATGACTTCATCATCCTGCGTCACAGCAAAGCGGATGTCAGGGAGGTCGATGGCTGCAGCATAAAACACCTGAACGTACTCATGGTTCAGCTCCTTCACACAAACAAAGACAGGTTTATACTTTGAGTAAAGAATTAACATTTGGATGGAAGAAATTCAAAGATGTGTTTGTTTACCTTGAAGAAACCAACCACTATTAGATCGTCTGTGGCCTCTAATTGGCTCAGATCTGTCATGAGATCAGCAGATGTCCCCGCCCTTCTTTGTAGCCAAGTCAAGATGGAAGCTGAACTCTGAGGAACTTCATCATAATTAAAAAAAACTTACAATGAGTATATTTACTGACAGTAGAAAAGCATAGTGGCTTTTTCAAAAAGCTTAAAGACAAAAATAACAATAAAACCTTTTCCATAATTTTGATGTTTTGCTATAAAAATGAATAGAACTATTTTGAGCTTCAAGTCTGAACACAGCTAATTAGGAGAAGTTATATATTAAAAAAAGGTGAAATATTTGCTTTATATAAAATGTCATGAATCTGAAACAAATATTAACGAATGTCTCATCCATTTGTTTTTATTTTATAGTTTTTTTCACATTTCTAAGTTATTGAGTTTTTATTTAAGTTTAAGATGCCACCCCAACTCAAATGCTGGCCAATCACAACAAGAAATAATCACATAAAATAATAAAGGACATATTCATGCTTAAACATGGAATGAATATGATTATTTTCAAATTGATTTTGTTCTTTATAACATTTAATTGATTTGTAACATTTATTTTTATGGGTTGCAAATTGTTTTTAAATGATCACATTCAGAAATCATTATTTATGATTTTGATTCTTTATATGTTTCTATATTTCACTGTGGCTCTCAAAAGTTTTAGAAAATGTTCTCTCTCTTATTTACTTATGCGCTCTGGTGGCTGAATCTTTGGTTTTAATAAATCAACCTTTGTTTGGTGTCAGTTTGTTTATTTGATTAGCGTTTCTTCTTTATGGCAAAATGCATCTTTATAAGTTTTTATAAGTACTGGTGATAATGACAGCAATGGACAATATGACCCAACATAAAATATTGTTTTGCAGTGAGTTAGGCTTTAGGGTTAACCCTTCGATACGCCTGATTCAGCTGATTGCAGTTCAGCAAACACCTGTCAATTGAAATCATCTGGGCTGAAGCAAGGAAACTCCTAAAACACGCAGGGCAGTGAGCCTGGAGGCCCAAAACATAGTTGAGCATAGTTGTAACCACAACAACCACCTTTTTCTATGCATTGTTATTTTAATGTGATATTATGCTGTTAGTTTAAAATAAATTTCTTCTTAGTAGTTTTACAGGGTAATGTTTTGACTGCATTGAAATGTCATCTTACTGTCAGTTTTAAATGGGTTTTTTAAACTTTATTAGTGTTAAAAGTTAAGTTCTTAAAGCATAACCATTAATTGGATCTTTTAAGTAGCCATTGGTCACAGTGCCTCTCGATGGATTCTTTAAGACAAGATCATTGTTTGTCTTGTTCATGATAACTTATAAATATGTTTATAAGTTATTGAAATAAATAAATATGTTTGACATTTCTCAAAGCTATTTGTGTCCAAAAAGTGTTGCATAAGCCACAAATGGCAATGTGTAGCAGAAATATGGAGGCAGATACCTGGGCAGAGAGCCGGGTTGGTTACATCTCCAGAGAGGTAGAGTCTGATGCTGGGCTGTCCGCTCACATGGAGCTTTTTTGCCAATTCTTTTTCCTTTGTCACATCAATGACTGCCAGCTTGACCTCTGACCCCTGAAGCTCTGCAGCAGCAGCTTTGAATGCAGCTTCAACACGATGACCTTCTGATGTCAGCGGAGTGTCTGGCAGACACAGAGTGGGAAGACGAATGTTAGGAGCGTCTTTTCGAAGGGTGTGTTTCGCACATGTGTAACTTATCTACCCCTGAAAGTTAAACCAGCTGTGTGTTTGTGCGTGTCAGTGTGTGACTTACAGAAGTGCACCAACAGCTGCTTGTGTTTTCTCAGAGCCCTTTTAAAGTTTCCCTTTCCAAGTTGTAAAATGCCTTCCTTCTCTGGTATCATGGTGTTTCCCTGCAGGTCAAGTTGTGCATCCGCTCCAACGGACACACACAGACAGAGCATCGCTCCAAGCAGCAGCAAGCCCAGCTTCTTCATGACTGACTAGCCACAGTTTGGTTAGCTGGACACTGGACGTCTTTCACAAGAAAGTCAGACTGTAGACTTATAAAAGGTGGGTGTATATCTCACTCTCTCTCTCTCTTTCTGTCTCTCTCTCTCTCTCTTTGTGCGTGCGTGTGTGTGTGAGAGTGTGAATGAATTTGTTATCTGCTAACGAACTCAACAATCAGTTGCTTATTAACTTCCCTCCCTGAGGCCTGCTGTAATTCTGCTATTGGCTGCTGCTCGTATCGTATCAGGTCCTAATATCAACACGTCCTTCACCTGCCAGACTTTAAAGGTCAAGAAGGAAAAGGAAACAACTACGTTGTAATTCACAAAATGCATGGAAGCATAAGAAAATAGTAAAACAATGGTCTAGTAAAACAAAGACTAGAATAAGTATTTTTATGCATAAATATACTTATGCATAAGTATATTTATGCTGGATTTTCCCTTATCAAAATGATGGTCAATGTAATATCAAATTAACAGTTTCAGACAGATTTGCTTCAACCAAAATAAATAGCATAAAGAGTCTGAACAATTGGTAGATTTGTTGCTTTGCAGCAAGATTCAAGGTCCCAGTTCCAGCCCAGGGTCTTTCTGCACAGAATTTGCAAGTTTGCAAGATTGATTTCTCTCCATGTACTCTGACTTCTTTCCACAGTGTTGGCTATGTTAATATTAATACGCAAACTGTCCTTGTCAGTGGCGGCGCCAGGGGAGCCCTAGAGGGTGCTATAGCTCCCCCTGGAAAAGTCATAGCACCCCCTAATTTAACATTACTTATATGTTTGTTGCAGCATTTTCATCAAAAAAATAAAAAAATAAAACGAAATTATGATATACTGAGTTAAAAAAATAAAAATAAAAATCCCACAAAAGGACTTGAACTTTGTCTAGGCGTATTATCACTTCGAGGAAACAATTGACATGATGTAGGCTCCGCCCCCATGCAGACGTGGACCAAGTCTCCCCCAATCATCCCAAGGTATTTGTCAGCAACTGACCAATCAGCGGTTGCAGTTTGTCAGAAAGTGTATATCCCTTTTCTAGATGAACACTTTGATGACACTGACAGTGTTTATCATAGCACAGCAAACTACCATGTTAGTGAACACGAAGGTAACCGGCAGTAAACATATCATGTTTTTATCATAATAGTGACAACAAATCAAGCCCTGAAGCAGTTAATTAGGCAATTAAATAAACACAAGTTAATTTAAAATACATAAAAAACAAATATGACAATGTGAACCTTTGCACGTGACGTCACTCTCTCCACCACAATGGTTGTCCATAAAGCCTGTAAAACGCGTTCTATATTTAGTTGATTTGTAGTAAAATGGCCACACGGTGCTGCGCAAACAGACAAGGTCCAAACCAAACTTATCTTTTAATTTTAATGAGGAAAGATGCGGCTGTCAATCATGACTGGCAGCTGCTGCTCTAACTGCAGATTTACAACGTTTTTAAGGCTGTTCCGGAAAACGCTGTTGATGACATCATGACGTAAATCGTTTGGTGTGAATTCAGTCGGTCAGTCATTTGATCAACGCGTCAGCAGGGAGGCGGTTCGGCGGTTCGGCTCGGTTTCTAAGCAGCTGTAAACACCGCCGTCTGAACCCAACCAGGTGCGAGACGTTCAGACATCGGCTCGATTCCAGCAGGAAGAAACCAGGAATAAACTGACAAAAACAAGTTGAGCCGCTCACTTCAATTCTTCCGATTCTCATTTCTGATCTACATCATGACGCTTCGAATGATTCAGTGACGTAGTTGTAAAGGGTCAATACTTGATATGTCCTTCGTCATGAATGCTGTTTTAACCTAAACAATGTAATATTATCTGGAAGCCATCTGGCTAATGGCTCCAGGCTTCATGCTGACAGCTAAGCATCAAATAAATGCAAATCAGTCTGAAAAATAACAATACTAATGTGTGTATTGATAACTATAGGGAACCCTAACCCTAAATCACTCAGTTTAAGTTAGCAAAAAAATAACTGAATGTCCAAATTGTTCTTTTTTTATGAGAATAAAGTCCACAAAAGAGTCCCGTATCCTCAAAAAACAAACAGAGTCCTGGAAGCAGTTCTCCGTTTCAATCCAAAGTCCCAATCCAAAATGAAATGTCCAAAACCTCAACCCCCCCAAAAACAAATGAAAAAGAGTGGTACCACCAAAAGTAAAGTCCAGCTCTCACCAGGAGCGTCTTTTCTTTCCCTTCGGTGGTTCCTCTTGCACCGGGCAATCCACTTTCCAAATGCACGACCTGCGGCACTGATCGCTGTTTTATGTCTTTTCTTAGATGATTTTAAACTTGTTTTAAACATTCAATCAAGTGGAGTCTCCCGGTGCACAGATCTGACGGTGTGCGTCTTCCTCTCCGTCTCACACGGCCCTTTTCATTCACTAATTTCAACCACACCTAAACCAGCATAATACTGTTTTAAAGAGTGGAAATACCAATAATTTAAACAATGAAATAGCAGCAACTGTTCTACAAAACACTTTGATGCATTTACTTCTTTAATGTATTTATTCAGGAAAGAAAACAAACTTACATTTTTGATATACATAAAACCAACCTTGTAAATATTTTGCAAATATTAAAGGGTCTTAAGAACATGGTTTTTAACCAGGGGCTGCATATATTTTAACATATCTGTTAAAACTGTCATAATGTCCTGGGGCAGATAATCTGTGAAAAATAAATAAATAATCTACCTCATCCTTGTGATCTTACTGCTATCTGCAGAAAAGCGCCACTCCTGGTAGGAGAAAACAAATCAGAGGCAGGAGGATGGTCTTAAAGTTGTCAGTCACTCTCATATATGTGCTGCTCACACCCTCCTTCATACATGAAACTGCCTTTTGGTACAGTCGCCTGGCCTCTCAGCCAATACTGGGTGTGTTTGTTTCCTGAAAGGGGGTTTGCCTGTGTGGCTACTATCGATTGCATCAACCTGAATCATCCATTGGATGTAGGGAGAAAGAAAGATGTCAGCTTTTTGCTCCGTAGTACACTCAACATCATCATCATAAACCTCCCCAAAGGACCTCAATTTAAAAAAATCTGAACTAAAGTTTTGATAACAAAAGTAAAATTAAAATAAGTGACAAAAGATAATATTCCTTACAGTCTGAGGTGTTACAAACATGTTAAAACTGTTTCTGCTTCTTTTCTCATTTGAGGCTTTTAACAACTTCAAATATTTATAGAAAATATCAAAAATACACTTAGTGTTCACCTACTACCATATGCATTTCAACAATAAATAATCTAGGAATGCTTATGAAAAATACCTTAAAATGCTTAACACATCAACCTGTATCAGCTGTTTGAGATGTATGGCAAGCATACATCCTTCCAGTCGTTGCTTTCACATGCTTATCTGTGCAGAGTCATCTGGATGTTGGGGCCTAACTGCAAGCAACTATTAAGGTGTGATTTTTCTTTCCTGCTGTGATGAATCTTAAATGTGACTTTTCCCTTCTTGTCAAAGAGAAGCTACCTTTATTTTGAGTTAAAAGTGCAGTGTAGGCAGCATATGATGCAGTCGTATGACAAATTAATTAGCAAAATTTGCAACATATTTAACGAGATCCTGAACAGATGGCGAAAAGCAGGAGCTTCATGGTTTGGGGTCATGTCATCTTTCATAAACGTACAGTTTCTCGCCACATTGTGGACAGGAGTGATGTGCATCTTGCAGTCGTCTCATGCACAGTGGAATCAGACAGAAACCGCAGAATAACCTGAAACACAGAACAGTCAGATCCACCACCTGAGCTTCAACACTGTGATTCTTCTGTGTGTACATGGATGTGTGTGTGTGTTTTGCTCCCACCCCATTAATGCCATAATGACACATGAGCACACAGCAGTCCTCCCAGCGACATACGTAACATTACTGGTAACAAGCTCGAGGCAGTGAGGACAGCGAACAAATCCAGGAGAGTCTCTCAGACTGTTCAGTATGATGGGAACTGGCTGCGGCTGGGACACAACCGCGACTGTCGGAGCTCTGCTGCCTCTGGAGGCTCGTTCACCAACTGCCAACAAGAATAGAAACATGAAGCCAAATATTTAAAACAAATTAGTATCCAATAGTAAATGACATTTAAAAAAATAACTCGGTACCTTGTATAAGTGGGTGGACTGTGACTCTGGAGTTTTCAGATGATGTAGCCACAGCAGTTTGCCCAGAGGGTGGAGTCAAAACAGGAAAAGCACATGGGTAAACTGAAAAAAGGAAAAACAAACAAAGAAATATAATTATCACAAGTTGCAACTGGTTTTCAGTGACGTGTGGCAGAGCCTCACCTGTCATCATAGAAAAGTAATATATAATGATAAAATAATTTACATTGCTATTTTCAAAAACAAGCTGTGGTTTGTACTATAAAGTACTTTTCATTTAACTTGACCAATTCTGATGATTTTTTTCTTCAAAAATCAGCTTTTTGAAGAAATTTTTGCAATTTCCCATACAAATACTCAGAAGTGCAGCAGGTGAGGCAGCAGCGAGCCTCACCTGGGATCGATCAACCGCTCACTAACTGCCATTCTCTGTCGCTCTTTCTGTTTGGATTCTGTGGGAGAAGGTATGAAGTTTTTTTCTGTGTTCAACAAGTGCAGTTTAAGTGAAAGTTCAATTACTGTTCTTGTAAAATAATATGCTTTGGAGTACTTCTACCTAAACGGTGATAGAACTGTGTTAGCAGCTATGTAGCTGCTCGTATGCTACATGAAACATTGCGAATGAAAATGCAACATCCATGTGCTGAAAATTGTGTTCATGGTTAAACAGACGGTGTGGAACACTGATGAGAAAAAAAGCCTGTTTTTGACGACTATTTTCTGCTATTTGAATGCAGGAGCATTAAAAAAGCCTTCAGATCATCTGCTGTCTGAGCACCGGCCGAATCAACTATGCTACACAAGTTGATATGGTTCTTTGAAAGTTCTCTATGCACTCATCATCTGTCAAAACTGCACTCTTTAAAACGTATTGTACTACAATGTGTACTGCCCACCTGTGGCAGCATTACTGGAAAAGCAGTATACATAAACTCCCGGTCACTTACAATGATGGCATGAGGATGCTGCTTAGGATGCCAAGATGGAGCAGTGGCAGTCAGATGATTGATTGTAAATGCTAATGTACCAACTTGTGTAGGTTAACAGACTCTGTAAACAGAATCATTCTTACTCTGACTAACTCTGTTCAAAGCTGAGTGAGGTTCTTCTCTAGTTCATGAAATCACTGGTGCCTCAGTTTGTATGGCATTGGATGATGATTTTAATTTCAGTCTTTTTGATGTTGTTCTGTCTGTTTTTGTTTATTAAGGACATATATGTGGACCATATTTGTGATTTGGACCATATATGTCGTTTGATTGATTGATTGACTACTGAAAAGATAAAAAATAAATGTACAAGAAATTTATTTCACAATATATACTTATGAAGAAATGGCTTCATTTGCTATTTTAACCCCTTGCGATAAAGCGATAAAAGATTTATCACAAATAGAAGAAATTGTTAAAGAAGGAAGGCTTTCTCCTTGGCTGGGTTTTCTAAATTGTTGAAGCTGAGAGAGGCAGAAACTTCTGGACCCAGCAGACATTGTGCAGAAAATGTAGAAGTATATTCAATTCTAAAGGTACAATGGTTTACAGTAGTTCTTTCAAAAACATTTAGGGGGGAAAGATAGAGGTTGTCAATTATTGTGATTAAAAAGATATCAAAACTGACCAAAATAAAAATCGGATGAGTGAAAGTTTCCCAAAATGTCCAACTATAGGTTAAGCACGTTTAATTGGTGCATCTCTGATAATGTCATGTATAAAAAGATAAAGTTTCTCTAAAATCAGTGAGAAAAGCTGTGGCATAACTGAAATGTAACTAATGTTTAAAGAATGGGGAGGTAGACATCTTACCGGCCTCTCCATATGTTGGAGGAGGTGTAGATGGAGTCTGGGTGGAGGTATAGACTGGAGGAGAGGAGTGGTTATTTTGTCCTGGAGTCTGAATGGAACAATGGCTGTTGACTTCCTCATATGAAGGTGGTTCCATCAGCAAATTATCCAGTTAACCAGGTCACTGCTGAGACAGAGGGTAAACCAAATAAAGCAATGTAAAACTTCCTGTCCCCTGTAAGCGGAGGGAGGCTACCCTCTCGTTCACCGGGGTAAACCCCAACGTACAGGCGCCGAGATGGGGAGCAACAAGTATGCCCACCCCTGCTCGACGCCTCTCACCGTGGGCAACTCCAGAGTTTTTAATAATCTGTTGAACAATTGTTAACCCAAATTTTGTAGTTTCTGCTATCTCCTTAATTGTTTCCCCTGCTTGATGCATGCCAATGTTTTGACCCTTCTCAAACAGATTGACATCCTTTCCACAATCACAGGATGTGTCTTTTGATATGGTTGTTTAAGAAATTAGAAAAACCTCATTGCACCAGTTGAGGTTAAATGACTTGTTGCCAGCTGAAACATAATCGCCCTGCAGTATATTACCAATAGGAGGCTTGTACCTATTTGCTTAGTTAATTCCAACTTCATTTCAATGTGTTGGAATTAACACATTTGATTTTTTAAATCAAATTGATTTTTTATAAAATTGATTTCTATAAAATCAAATTTAGCATGATTTTATAGAAAAGTAAACAGTAAATGGACTGAATTTATAAAAATAGTAAATCATTTAAATCATTTATATATATATATATATATATATATATATATATATATATATATATATATATATTTGTATTATATTATTGGAAATGTAAAACAAAAATGTGAAGAAATATATTTTACTATGTCAATTTTACCATGATTTTATAGAAAAGTAAACAATAAATGGACTGAATTTATAAAAATAGTAAAAAAAATAGTAAATCATTTAAATCATTTATATATATCTATATATATCTATCTATATATATATATATAGATATATATATATCTATATATATATATATATATATATATATATATATATATATATATATATATATCTATATATATATATATATATTTTATATATTTAAATGATTTACTATTTTTTTTACTATTTTTATAAATTCAGTCCATTTATTGTTTACTTTTCTATAAAATCATGGTAAAATTGACATAGTAAAATATATTTCTTCACATATTTTGTTTACATTTCCAATAATATAATACAAATACAAGATTTTAATAAATCAAACAAAGTTGTTTTAGTAAAAATGATGTCTGAAAACTGTTGTTGGCCTGAAACATGAAAACGGTTTCTCTATTCACCTCTTAGTTCTCAGTTGCTTTGGTGCATTTGTAAGATCATTTTTGACATTTGCAAAACAGTAAGTTTATTTCTGAAAACAGCATGGATCACCTGCAAAAGACTGTTTCTTTCTCAAAGTCATTAGTTAATCTCTCAAAATTGAATAGCTGTAACAACAAACACGACTGTCTCAAAATGCAAGTTCTTGTCTCATTGTGTTCAGATAAGAATTAATTAGTCACATTGATTAGTCATGTTTCCAACAGTGTAGTTTACAGGGATTTGCTGTTGTAAACTATGGTTATAGTTTAGCCAAGTATTGTTTGTCATTAAACAATACTTGTTTTGATGACAAGTATTGTACACTGTAATTATGGGAAATCAATGGCAAGTGAATGGACAAGACTCACATTTATACTTTTACTGTATTTTCTTTAATAGAAATAACAGAGCACAAAAAATAAAAACTAAAGAAGCAATAGGTAAAGGCCTATGAAAACGAAAGACAATAAGGTAATGATGAGTACAAGCTCCCGAGCAACAGTTTTGGTTTCTTTTAATTTTTGGTAGAGGTGGATGGGATGTGTTCAAGTTCATTGTACATGTAAATAAATGTAAAAAATTTCAATAAAAAGTTAAATGTTAAAAAAAAGAAGCAATAGGACTGTTTCCTTAAGTATATGAAAATGCAGTGCTGCAGAAATACAGTCTTTCCATCTTCATGCTGAGAAAATATTCTACTTAATTCTACTGATTCTACTTGTCTCTGGCTGTTGTCTCCTTCAAAATCCTTTTCCTTCCATTGTCAGAAATGTAGCATATCGTTGTCTCTGTGTTGCTCTATGCCGGTGGTGCCCAAAGTGGATCCTTGAGGGCCGGAATCCTGCATGTTCTAGATCTCTCCCTGGTGGTAGTAACAACCTCCTCAGCATGTCGATGTTTAAATGAGCCGTCAAATGATGGCTCATTTGGCTGGATCCAGGTGCGATATACCATAGAGAGAACTAAACATGTCGGATGCCAGTGTTCACCTGTCCTCCGAAGCGACTTTGGGCACCACTGTTCTATACACTATATCAGAGGTTTCCAAAGTGGGTCGTGGTGGGCCGGCATCCTGCATATTTTAGTTCTCTCGCTGGTTTAACGCACTTGGATCCAATGACGGCTCATTAGAAGGACTAAGAAGAACATTGACATGCTGTTTGTTACTACCACATGGGAGAGAACTAAAACATGCAGGATGCCATTGCTGGCCCTCCACGACCCACTTTGGGCACTCCTTCGTATAGGGGTGCACTATATGCAACCCTATATGGACAGTTTTTATCTAAAGCGTCACACATTTACATTTTTGAAGAAACTCAGGATTCACCTAGGAGCAGTGCTTGCTATAATTTATGTGTGGATGTGCCAAAACTTTCTCCAGCTAAACAGAAACGAAACTGAAGTCATTATTTTTGGACCTAAAGAGGAACGATCTAAAGTCAATGCACAGCTTCAGTTATTACAACTAAAAACTAGCGATCAGGCCCGAAACCTGGGAGTAGTGATGGACTCGGACTTGAACCTCCAGAGCCACATAAAGACAATTACAAAGTCGGCCTTCTATCACCTGAAGAACATCTCCAGGATTAGAGGACTAATGTCTCAGCCAGAGCTAGAGAAAACTCATCCATGCGTTTATCTTTAGTCACATTGATTATTGTAACAGTGTCTTCACAGCCCTGTCCAACAAATCAATCCTCCAGCTGCAGCTGATCCAGAAGCTGCTGCTCCTGTTCTCACTAGAACCAGGAAGATAGAGACATAACAGCAGTTTTAAAGTCCCTCCACTGGCTCCCTGTAGCTCAAAGAATAGATTTTAAAATACTGTTGTTAGTTTATAAATCACTGAACGGTTTAACACCACAATACATCAAAGATCTGCTGTTGTTGTATCAACCTTCCAGAACCCCTCAGGTTCTGGTTCTGGTTCTGCTCTGCATCCCCAGAACCAGAACCAAAAGAGGAGAAGCAGCTTTCAGCATCTATGCACCAAAAATTTGGAACAAACTTCCAGACAACTGTAAAACAGCGGAAACCCTGACTTCCTTTAAATCTCAACTAAAAACACACCTGTTTAGATTTTTATTTGAAATGTAATATGTAACAATGTATTGTCTATTATATGTTGCATTCTTGTGTTTATGATGTAAAGCACTTTGAAATGCCTTGCTGAAATGTGCTATACAAATAAAATTTGATTGATTGATTGATTGATTGATTTATACAATACAATTATACTTAAATATTGAAGTGCTTGGGACAATAAAACAAGAAATGAGGCATGATTAAAGACAATTGGACAAAACACTTAGGTCCCATCTCCAACTGTGAAAACAATGTTCTGTGGGCACCACAATGTTTTATCCAAAGTTTACTGCTGCCGAACAGTAATGGTTTCTGATATTGGCGACATGGACAAGGGTGTGACCAAGGCCAATCAGGTGGGGGGGCAGAGTGAGGAATAGATAAAAGCAGACATTGTGCTCCATCCTTAGCTTCACGAGGTGTGCTAAGGTGACCTCACAAGAGCCCTGCACTGGATGACTCCAAAATAAGTTTGGAGTCATCCAGCGCAGTGTCTTGTTTTACATATAACAAGCCACTGCATCATTGTCTTGTTATATGTAACAAGACAATGTTACATAATGTTGACACCAGAAATAGGACGTTAATGAGCTGTCTGGGTATTTACAGTTGAAATGTAAAGCCTCTGCTGAATGTGGAGCAGTGATGGCGACGTGGCAGGAGTTCCTCCCCCACGCTACTGAACAATGAGAGGGTGTGTGTGTTTAAACGCTGAGATTAGCGCTCAGCCTGTTTAACAGGAATTCAACAGACTTAAACAGACACAAACACAAGAGCACTGACTTCAGTTTCACACTTCAATATTCAGCTTGTCTGCAAGTACAATTATGATGTTAAAAATAACATCTAAAAATAACATTTTGTAACTTTTTGTGGTTACTTCATATTAGGAGTCATTTGAAAATGATAGTTTCTGCTTAACAGTTGCACTTTTTATGAAAAATGCCGTTATTATTTAGCCGTCCATGAGATTCAAGTAACCAAAAATTATGCAGCTGTTCTTCTGAACCAGCAGAATTAGCCTTTAGACATACCTGTTGAATGTGGTCAAGTCATTCCGGTTCAAATGGGGTTTCATTCTTTTGTAAACAAGACATCCAAACATCTAAGCCTGTCCACTGATCCTATCCTAACTGGCCCCTTCACATTCATCACAAGCACCAGGTCCAAAGACAACACACCTGCAAGGTTGTGATCCAGACTTTGAACAGGAGGAAAGAGGACTTATAGGAGTAGTGGCCTTACCTCAGACAAAGGAGTGACTGGTCGCCTGGCCGGTGGATGCAATTCATGCTGATAGGAGTCGTGACATTACGACTTGAACCTGTTTCCCCTCAGGAATTAGAAACATTTCACTTGTTACGTGTTGAAACCAGCTTCCTGGTTTCCTCCTGAGCGGAGACGACACACTCACTGTGTGCCTCACCCAGTCACTCCTATATAAAGAGGCACACAGGCAAATATAGGCAGGAAAATACAGCAGGTGTGTTTGTTCATAAAACTGTTCTTTGTGTGTTGGGAAAGAATTCGTTAGTGATTGACACTAACCTTCATTTAAAATCATTTTTTTCATTAAGTTCCACAAATATAGAATTGTTTTCATATTACAGATATGTCGTATTTCAGCTTCTTTGAAGTATTTAGAATCTAAAACTGTTATTTACGTTAAGAATTGTTGGTTGAACATAACAAATGTGTCTGAATATTAATTTAAAACTTGCAATGGAACATTTTCTTCACCTAAATCATGTAAAATTTGTAAAATTGTTGGCACTTATGTTTTTTCTTTGTTGTGTTTTTGATCTTTCTTGTGGGGAGAAGCAGCTATTAGATAATGAAAAGCAGTTAGTTTGCCCTTATTGTGTAAAGTTTCAGCTGTCAAATATGCTGAGAGGTCTCAAAGAATAATCTTAGAAAATAAATTGCAGAGTTGTAACTCATGGACATCACTGAACATAAAGATGAATCATCATTCAGCTGATCACATTCTGATTCTGAGCTGTAATCTGAAAACTTGGCCTTCACCTTGTTGTCACTGAAAGGACATTTTCCTTCTGTCACTCTTTATTTATTTTGCAAAACCTCAACCAAAGAAAAGGGAAGGGGTGTCACTCTACCAGCTTTGCATTCATTGAAACAATCATTTTTTTGTCCATTGGTCATTGCAGAATGGCTTCAGCTCAGTCATATTAGATTGGCAGTGACTGTGAACATCAACTCTTAAATCCTGCCAGGGCTTAATTAAATTTAAGCCTGGACTTTAAACAGGCCATCCTCATATGAAAATGTTTTCATTTAACAGTTCCATTGCAGCTCTGATTGTATGCTTTGAAACTTCTGTCTCAAGATTTTTCCAGCTACCAAACAACATTTCTGCTCTTCTTTTATTCTTTAAGGAAGAATAAATAATTTTGTTTCTGTCCTTAATAGAGCTTTATTCTTCATCCTCAAGTTGTCAATCAAATTTTATCATTTCAAGAATCAAATAGTTTTAAAAGCAGCAAATTGAAAGCTTAAACACTCATTATAATTCTCAGTACAGAGACAATGATTCATAAACTGTAAAACTTTTTCTAATAAAACTGGAAGAAGATAACTTGATCTTAATATGCATTTAGCACAATTACAGTTCGTCTCTGGATGTCTTGTTTTCAGAAATCTCTGCAGACTCGTCTACTTCCTGAGAACAGAGAGCAAAGAGAAAGGTTTGATTGCAGCTTTAAATATGAGTAATAATGGCTAAGAGGAAATGAAATAATAGCAAACCTTGCTCTGATCACCAGTGTTGTCTTCTTCTTTACCATCTGAGCTCTCCTCACCATCACCATCATCATCATCCTCGCCACTTTCTTCCAGTGGTAGAACTCCTCCACTATCCAGGAACTTGCTAAATGTCTCCAGATCTCGGTTTCCAGTGAAGTCAACCACCTGAATGAAAGAAGCAAAATAAAACAGTTGATTTTTTTTGTATGTCTTCTGCATCTCTGTGGTGAGCTGAGCGTTTCTACCTCTTTGCCTTCAGCTGGGTAATATTTGATGGTTGGAAATCCTGAAATGACAAGCGACTCCACTTCATTAGCCGTGGCGTCCATCTTGGCAATTATGATGTTTTCATGATCAGCATATTTCTCTCCCAGCTGGTCCCAAATCGGAGCCAGTTCTTTGCAGTGTTCACACCATGGAGCATCTATGCAAACAGAGACAGGATGTAAGGGAAATTAAGGCAACTGCAGAAATAATAGAATTTTTCAAAGCCGCGAGCGGCGTCGTGCGGCCCTCGCAGCCAAACGCCGCTCCGGCCTACTGGCGACCAGGGGGGTTCCGGCACCACCGTCCACCTGCCCACCACCGCAGAAGCTCTCGCACAGCTACCGTGCCCGTTCATCAGGTGGTACACATTGATGCATTCGGCGGCACTCCCCAACGAAGCACAAAAAATCTGGTGCAGATCGGTGGATGTAGCAAGGAGATATAGCGATGGATTAATCTAGGGGGCGCAGTGGAGTCAAATTACTTTTAAATGCTGTTGGGCTCTTTAGAGGTGAACAAAGGTCATACATATCCAGTTTGGTGCCAGTCGGATGACACATGTGTGATTTAGAGAGAGTGATATTTATATGGCGAGGGCCTGCAATTCACCATTTGGACATGCCCACATGGTTCAGCCAGCAGCCAGCATTGACAGCGTTCATCATCTTATCACTTTAAGTGAGTCTGCACAGGATTAAATCCATATAATTAAAACAGTAAAAGTAATAATTATATACTTTTACAGGAAGTAATACAAGTGACTTCCTGTTAAAAGTGGGCAGGTGATGACTTCAACTGACCATGACAATGTCATCATGACTGGTCTGTAGAGAGACATAGGAAGTCTTATGCAGCTATAATCTAATTTGGACGTTACTGAATCTTGATGTTTCATGCGGAATAGTTAAAATTTGACACTTAGCCTCGCTCACATGCTTTGATGTACAAGAAACCCTTTGATAACTTGTGACCTTTGATCCCTCAAGTATGTGTTGAGTGATTCTGAAGTCTGTATCTGAAAAATTTGATCAGAAATGACGTCTATAAAAACGAGAAATTGACGGCTTTGATCCAAAATGGCCGAGTTCCTGTGGGGTTTAGACCATGGCTCCAAGAGACAATTTTTTTAAGTCCTGACAAGATACACATGTGTACCAAGTTTCGTAATTGTAGGTTAAAGCATGGCTTGGGGCTGATCATTTCCAGTGTTCTAGGGAGCGCTATAGAGAAATTAGGCCACGCCCACCAGTTTGTTATGGATTCCTGTCGGGGAATGGATGAGGATCCATCCTAGTGAGTTTGGAGCAGCTCGGCCCAAAACTGTGGAATTGAGAGCCAAACGTACGGCAATGGCGTTACAGGTCATGCTGCCACGCCCACCTGCTCCATCGAATCCGGTCAAGGTTGGACTCCTCAACACACCAACATGTCTTCTGTCTTTGGACACAGTTTCATGTTGAAGAGGTCAAAGGGGTCAGATAGCGACCATTCACAGTAAAACATGACACTTCCTGTTCTCAGGGGGCGTGGCCTAAGTGGTGTCATCATTCGACCATTGGGTATTGTAGGACACCAGATGATGATCAATCACTTAAACTTTGGGGCCTCTGTGAGTTTTTGTGTAGGAGATATAACAGTTTATTTTTTCATGGCAAGTAGATGAACTTTGACCCCTGGTATCGCCCCTTCATCATGCTCAAAAACTCACCGTTTTGATAGCTTTAGATCTGCCATGCCTTATGAACAAACACAGTTTGACTTTTTATTCCAGAAATTCTAGATCATGCCTTGATTCAACTAAATAACTTAGATTTTATTAACAATTTAATCAATAAATTATTGATCAAATTATCAACAATTACATAAGCCAAATATCAACACAAGTTCTGACTCAGCAACAATTTTGATGCAACATTGTGAAGATGGCAAATTTTTTGCTTTCTGAATTCTAATTTCCAACGCATCCCACCAGGGATGGACGGACAGACAGACGGATGGACAGACAAAAAATTCTGAGTAATGTTGAAAAGTTCCATTTAATTTTCCAGAAATAAGGGAAGAAATGCAACAACTCCAAGGAAATCTTTTATTGGTGTCTGGATGTTGAAGATGACACCTAGTGGTACTGCAAAGCGAAGCTCTTAAAACCAGTGTGTTGCTTTAAAGCAGTACTTCTCAAATAGTGGGGCGTGTCCCCTTCCCTCTTAAAAACTAAACTGAAGGAGTTGTAAAATGTTTTACTGTATTAACTCTAAAAATGCACATCCCATTGACTGATTTGCACTTTTTCTCTTCCAAACTGTGTAGTATTGATTAAATGTTACTGTTTTGATAATAAGGTCAATCCTGGAGCCAGTGGTTTGTCCAGATAAATTATTAAATATGAACACATTTGCAATAGTATTTCTATTCTGGGGAGGAAAGGGCACTGAAAGAAGTTGCAAACTAAAACATAAAATGTGATATTAACTTACATGTGAAATAAAATAAAACTAAATGAAACATGAGATATAAAGTTTCAAAGATTGATATTATCAGGGATATATATTGTTGTTAATTATTTACAGGTATTTGTATAAATATATTCCTGTCAGTGTTTCCTTTTCATATTTATTCATGCATATTTTACTTACTGTATCTTTTTATGTGTTGTGTTTGTCTTTCTTTATTGTTGTGTATTTCTACTGACTGTTTGCAAACAACCAGCACTTGGTTGTTTGCAAATGTGCAACATGAATAAATGTGACCTTACCTGATCACATAGATCAGGTAAGAGTTTATGTATGCGTTAAATCGACAAGTATTTAATTTTTCCTTCATCATACTGAACTGATGATGAGGCAACAGAAGTGTGTTCATATGTAATTTGAACCAACTGTTTTGTGCAGTTAGTAAAAAAATTATAAAAATGCTGATATGGTACAAATTAACTCACAAAACTCAATAAAGACGTTTTTGGTCGGGTCCAGAGCCACGGATTTAAAATTCTTGCCAACCAGGACTTTGACTGGTTCTTTGTCCCAGTCCTCTGGGATCTCTTCAGAACGATAGTATGGCTGCACATAGAGACAAGACAAGTGACTGGATTTAATACAGGGGAATAACTGCACCTGATAAGTGGGTGAGGATCTATTTTACCATTGCAATGCCGTCAACAACTTCCTGACACAGCAGCCACAGCGAATCTGCTGTTAGAGC